TGAAACTGATGATGTGCCCTGTAAACTTTCACTCAGTCCACAATAAAAACCTTAAATTAAAAAAAAAGAGAAAACCTTATACTACAGTTCTACTCTGTAACACAGGAGTCAGAATCAACTCAGTGGCAATGAGGATCTGCTCCTATAAAGATTACAGTCAAGAAAACCTTATACTACAGTTCTACTCTGTAACACAGGAGTCAGAAGCAACTCAATGGCAATGTATTTGTTTGCTTTTTGTGTTCGTTGGTTTGTTTTATGAGCACCTAGAACATGTCAGGCAGTACTGCAGATGCTGGTGATTCACCAGTGAATAAACTGTGATATCCTGTCTTCATGGGCCCTGGTGTGGCACTGCAGAATAAGCACTGAACAAGCAACCACAAGGTCAGTAGTTCAACCCACTAACTGCTCTTTGACTACAAGAGTCGCTAGGAGTGGGAACAAACTCAACGGCACACAACAGCAACAGTTGTCATGGACTTACATTTTTTTTTATAGTAATCTTTTATTTTAACATAGTGTCCAATTTTTTTTTGATGTTGCAAAAATGGTAATGAATTGCCAAATACCATTCACTCATATTCCTGAAGTGTTAAAATTTGACTATGTTTGCTTTATTATTTTGTCTCTCACCTCCATGTGCCTGACTGTCTGTTTATCTACCTATCTGTTCTATTTTTTTCTGTATCATTTGAGAGTAAACTACAATCTTGATATCCCTTAATCCCTAACTACTTCAGTGTGTATTTAAAAAAAAAAAAAAAAAAAAGGACTCGTTTTTTCCATAATTACAATATAACTATTTAAATCAGGAAATACTATTAATATAATACTGTTAACTTATCTATGGACCTTGTTCAAACTTCACTAATTCCTCCAATAAGGTTCTTCATATGAAAAGAAAATCAATGTGGGATCACACAGATCAGTCAGTTGTGATATCTTTAGTCTTCTACAGTCTGGGATAATTTCATAATCTTTCCTTGTCTTTCATTACTGTGACATTTTTAATAATACAGGTCGATTATTTTGTCAAGTGTCCCTCAATTTGGACTTGTTAAATATTTCCTCATGATTAGATTTGGATTATGTCTTTCGAGGCAAAAACAACCCGGAAATGATACTATGTTCTTCTCATTGCATCACCACAAGCACATGAAGTCAATGTGTCCCATTTGGTGATATTAACTTTGATCACCTGATTAAGATAATGTTGCCCAGAATTCTTCACTGGAAAGTTGCTATTTCCCCCTTTATGATTAGTAAGTATCTTGTGTTGGTTGTTGAGAGATGCTGTCAAGTCATTTTCAACTCATAGAGCCCCCATGTGACAGAGTAGTATTGCCCTATAGAATTTTCTAGGCTGTAATCTTTACCAAGTCATTTTACTTCTTTAGACCAACAGAAAAATGGGAAGAATGTCACAGAATTGTCATGATAAGCAAATGAAATAAAATGTATATTTTGAAGCAGTTTGGAAAACTAAGCAAATGCAAGGGATTGCTGTATGGCTACATTGATAGGTTACATGTTGATTGGTTGTTTGTTTTTAACAGGGATCTATTTTCAACGATTTTATATATCTGGCATGTTTCCCTAACTGCACCCTTTGTCAACTCAAGCGAGATATTGAAAAAAGAAAAGTACTAAATGTTCTATAAAAGGTGCTTGGTAAGTTAAGAATTCTTGACTGATCTATAAGTATCAAAACAAAATTTCAAGGATATTTTTCACAAACATATTAGAGATCCTTTAGAAATGGAAGGAAAGTGGTTTCTAATTGCCAGTCTATCCAAACAGATGATAGCTTCCCAGAACCTAGATTGAAAGAGCTACAGCTTGGTTGGGTAAGAAAGAATTTTGTGATTTATCCAGATGTCTGCCATTGGTAGAGTTGTTATGAGGTACTGATATCAACCATATCTATCTTAATATACCACGGTTTTAAGATAGGAAACATATGTATATAAAAAGACATTCATTTCCCTAGCCAAGATTTGAGGTCCATGGCTATCAACAGTAATCTGCTTAGATGTGACATTAAGTATGACTGTGTAATGTACTTGTAAAAACTTTGATATTAAAACAATAATTCACTCTCTAAAGTGGTGAAAGACTGTGTAAGTCCCTACATTTATGGAGTCTGAGTGAGGACAATACACTAAGTTATCTAAAATACCCAAAGCCCCCATTATAGAGAAAGGTCACTATTTAATGACTACATAGTCAAAATTGGGTAGCTACTCAATTACCTTGTTTTCTAAACTCTTCTGATCACATACATTCCTTTCCTCTCAGACAAGAGGGCAACTCATTTCTTGCTTTCAAAATCTCTTAGTCTTAATTCCTTCCTATAGAATTATATATTCAGCTGTTGGTTTTCACTTAGAAGTGTCAACAAACTCCCTCTCCCACCCCCCCAAAGATAAGCAACATGCTATTGTAGAGTCTATTCCGACACTTGGTGACCCACATGTGTTACAGAGTAGAACTGAGCTCCATAGGGTGTTTTGGCTGCAGTCTTTATGGAAGCAGATCACCAGGCCTTTCTTCCATCGTACCATTGGTGAACTCAAACCACAATCTTTCAGTTATCAGCTGAGCAGAAATGTTTGCTTCACCCAAGACTGTACTCTATCAAAGCCCTGTCTCCCAAAAGGTCTTTGAGAGTGTTTGATCAGAATGATGAAGCCACCAGCATGGCCTTGTAGGATAAGCACTGGACCAAAAGGTTGGTTTGAACTACAAGGTCAGCAGTTCAGCTGCTCCTCAGAAACCCTCCATAGTTAGCTATGAGTCAAAGTGACCCAATGACGCTTAAGAACAATAATGATGATTGGTTGTCATTAGTTTGATCTACTGCTCACTAAGATTTTGCCACATGCAACGCAAAATAATGTCCTCTTCATGAGCCATGCTTACGTTTTAGTCCCAGGTATGTATCCCAATATTTGTCTTCTGATTTCTTCAAATCACTTCCTTCAATGTTAGAAATGTTTGACTCACTGTAAGCTGCATCAAGATAGTGGGTTTTGTAATAATTCTTTTTCCTCCCTGTACATTGCCTCATGGGTTATGAGTATTGTCCCTTTTCTCAAGTAATGGTGTTTCTTTAAAGGCCTGTCTTACCTACTTGACCCAGAATTTGATACCGAAATAGCATGGAAGGAATTAAAACATGGCAGCTCACACGGATCTAGCCCTTTCATCAATGAAAGAGATTGGTTTTGTTTTTTGTGTTTTGGAGACACTTACCTTAGTGTGTCGATGACTCATTGGCACTCAGCTACAGAAATTAACTCTGACAACCTAGATTACACTACAGTTCACCCTACCACCTAGCAACAGAGCCTGACACATAGTAGGCACTTGTAAATATTGGTGAAAACACACATGAATGCAAATTGCAAGGAAGGAAGCATGAAGACCGACTTCGGGAGACTTAAGTGTATCTTGGCTGATAGTTGTGGCTCTTCCTAATAATGTACTGAACCCTCAACCATGTAGCAATTTTAGGGCAGAGGTGGGATGGAAGTTTTGATATTTGTAAAAGATGGTGTAAAAAAGAAAAAGTTGAAATGGTCATACTATTCATGAATAAAACCCTAATTCATTCTCTTATTATTGTTATTCCTACAGGTCAAATTCGCATTTTGGTTAAAAAGCTGGAATGGAATACTACATCTATTGAGAGTGCTGTCTTGCCTTAAATTCCAGAAACCAGTTCTAACCAAGTTACTTCAGATATCTACAAAAAATTTCTTCTTTCTAGCTTCTTTTGAAAGAAATACATTATGCACCCTTTTTTCTCCAAGAGAGCTGTCATTAACACAAAAAGCTTTCCTAACAATTCTTGCTCCTTTAAATACTACTTCATGGAAAGTTATAATACATGTCTTTAAAAAAATAAACTCAAGATTGGCAAAACGTTGTCAAAGTTGGTGATGGCTATATGAGAGTTCTATAGACTATTCTATTTGTCTACCATTATGTATGCTTGAAAAATAATTTAAACATTTTTAAATGCTGCCAAGTAAACAGGTAACAAGTCTCATATAATGAACTTTTACTATTTGGATTCTCTTTCCACTGGGATTACCTTCACTGCCTCACCTGCTCCAGGAACCTCTTCACACTAGGAGAATGTGGATTACCTCCTTTGAGAACCTCAAGTAGGATTTATCATTTCCTTATAACCTCATAAAATAAATTCACTCCAGAAAGCATTTACCAAGCAATGAAGATTTTACTATCGATTACTCAGAGGGACAAAAGAGGTAATTTATACCATTCACCACACAGCAAGTCACCTAATTAAAATTCCTGTTAAATACATCTGTCTTCCCTGAAGTTCATCTCCAGTGGCAAAGTTGCTTCCTTTTTCTGTTTAAAGGGATTTATTCCCATCTCATTCTCTAGTTCTAGAAACTGTAGCCGGAAGGACTTGTTATACTCAGCAGATTTTAATTGGTGGGCGGAAGGATGGGTTGAAATTCTGCAAGTAAACAAAATATTGTTTTCCTTACAGCTTATTGGAAAGTTAAAAGATACTTCCTTTTACATAAACATAAAAAGCTACCAACATTAAGAGTTATTTGTTCCATCTTTGATCTAGCAGAGATTATTATTGTTTCTTTCTTCTAATCTTGTCATTATGCTTTATCCTATGTATCTATAAGCCTAAGCCTCCCACACACAAAGCTACTTTTCGGAATTAAATAACAATCAACTTTAAATGCTACTTAACCCTGAAAGCCAGCTAAAGCAAAGAATCAGCAGCAGATCTGAGTTGAAGAGAGAGACAAGAGAAGATTTATAAACTTCCAAAACAAAGACTCACAGAGGAGAGTTCACCTCAACTTTCCAGGGCGTAGAAGGGTCATCCATGCATCCCACTTCCCTCCTGTAGATGCTGTATCAGAGTTATCTATGGTTGCTTAGGGGCTTTAGCAACAATCATTTCTTCTGTTCACAAATCTGTAATCTGTCCAGGACTCAGTGGAGACACCTCATCTCTGCTGTGCAAAGTAATCTAAACCCACTGCCACTGAGCTGATTCTGACTCATAGCATCCCTAAATAAGGTAAACAAGATTTGTTAAGTGCCATTGAGTGCATCCCGACTCATAACGACCCTGTATAGGGTGTCTTAGAAGCAGCTGGTAGATTTGAACTGCTGACCTTATAGTTTGCAGTCCAGTGCTGATCCTATGTAAGAAATATTGTTGATACTGACAAACACTCAAGAAATCCAATCTGTACTTATTTTAGCGAGACTGAGGTTTTCTTTATTCAATTTGCAAAATAGTGCACCCAACCCAGTAGAAACAGGCAGATGTGCTGCATGGCCAGCCCACAAACAGTTTTATTCTCCTGTCTTGAAAAAGCCCCTCCTCCAGTTCCACAATTTACCCAGTGGTGCCCATGATCTTAATGGCTGTATTCTTATTTAAAGTTCCTAGTGCTAGAACAGATTTCTTTCTCTCTTCTCCCAATTCATCCTGCTTACATATTCCTGGATGTGAAGCAATCTCATGCATCCTTTATTTCTGAAGATGAACCATCTTGAGAATTTCTCACAAGACCACACCAGAAGTATAAATCTCTACTGGAGTAGACAGCCTCAACTTTCTCATGTGGAGTGGCTAGTAGTTTTAAACCACCGATGTTGATCCAGGCAGCTCAACACCTAACCCACAACACCACCAGGACTCCTAGCAAAGTGATATTGAGTGGCTCAAATTAGGAGAGGAAGGGCCTGCTATCAAGGTGTCCACTCACATGGTGAGCACATAGCAGCTCAGTCAAGGCTGTGGACTAGAGGCCTCAGTTCCTCTCCAAAGGAGCTTCTCCACAGGCTGCTTCGGCTTAACATTTTGATTGCTGGGTTTCAAGGGCAAGCATCTAAAGATAACAAGATGGAAGTTGAAGACCTTTTTATTTCTTTAAAAAAAAAAAAAAAAATTAGCCTCAGAAGTCATATAACTAAACTCTGAACTCTTAAACTCTCTTGGCTAAGGCAGTTGTGAAGGCCAATAAAGGTTCAAGGGTGTGGGAATGAGTGTCTTTTCTTCAAATTTATTGCATGCCTGTTTATTGTATTCGGATGACCTTTCTTTTCTATTTTTACTACTTCCTGACGTGAGTATGGACTTTCCAACTTCCTTAAGCAACCCTAGCAATTTGAAATAGTCAATCGAGTAAGGACAAGAATGCGAGCCCTAACAATTTGAAATAGCCAACCGGGTAGGGACAAGACTGTGTGGTTGAAGCCCTAGTCAATTGGGTGAGACACAGCCTTAGACTTGCATCAGGGATAAAACCTGAGCAGACTGCCTGCCTGGTGTGCTTGCTAGCCAAACTTTCGTGCTGTTATGCACCTTCTGCCAAAGTAAAAGTTGCCTTTCCAAGATTCTTTTGTTCTACTGTGTCTCTGTTGCCACATCGAGCCATGTTTCTAACAATGGGAGGGGACATTGGCTATAAAATTCTTCATGAGGTGTGGCAAAGTTCTTGAAGAGCATATAAAAAAAGCATATAAAGGTGCAACCATCTTTGAAAAATGTAATATACCATCGGTGCTGTGTCTCTTGAGATCAGAACTATTACCCATCTGCTCCATTAAAGCACCTCTTGAAGGGTTGTAACCGAGTTGTCTATTA